GGTAGGTCTAGTTTAATGAAGAGAAGGACGAGGAGGGACATGATAGCAGTGCTCCAATATCTCAGGGGCTGCCCCAACGAAGAGGGAGTCAAGCTATTCTCCAAAGCGCCTGAAGGCAGGACAAGAAGCAACGGATGGAAACTCATCAAGGAAAGAAGCAACCTAGAACTAAGGAGAAACTTCCTGACAGTTAGAACAATTAACCAGTGGAACAACCTGCCTCCAGAAGTGGTGAATGCTCCAACACTGGAAGTTTTTAAGAAGAGACTGGATAGCCATTTGTCTGAAATGGTATAGGGTTTCCTGCCGGAGCAGGGGGTTGGACTAGATGACCTCCAAGGTCCCTTCCAACTTTATTATTATTATTATTATTATTGAGGATCATCGCACAGTCAGCCAGATGTTCAGACTGGATTTGGCATTTTGTCTACCTATCGAGTCCTTCCCAAGGACCTGGGATAGGCAGATGTGGATGTTTGATGGTATTACAGATATCGTCGCAGGATGGAAGCAGTTCCTAGTAAGGCTGCCTTTTGCAATTGACTAGTGGCGAATGTGTCAGTGCCGATGATGGTGTTCAAGTGGTGCTCCAGTTGTTTTGGGATTGCACCCAAGACACCTATTACTATTGGTACTACCCTTGCTTGCCTTTGCCACAGTCTTTCTATTTCTATTTGTAGCTCTTTGTATTTTGTTATCTTCTCCAGTTCTTTCTCGTCTATTCTGCTATATGATGATGATGATGATGATGATGATGATGATGATGTGACCATTCAAAGCTGGAGAATTCTGGGAGTTGAAGTCCACGTATCTTAAAATTGCCAAGATTGAGAAACACTGGTTTAAGGCAAAGGTGAGAAGGGAGGTAGCAAGCGTGGATCACATGCAGATCCCCAAACCATCATTTGCAGCCTCCCACATGACCAGGATCCTCACCAAATTTCCCAAAGGCTGTGAGAAACACCCCCCCCCCCAAGCTGTACTGAAATCACAACCTGGGCAGCACAAAAATTGGAAGCCATCAGTGCCAGAGGCCGGGTCTTCTCCTAGCTCTGCCTTTCTGGGCAAATATAGCTGAGATGAAAGGAAAAAAAATAATGCTGCTCAAACAAAGCCTAGTTAGGAGCTAGGAAATGTTCTTGAATTTAATGAGTTTAAGGAACAGCCAAGCGGAAGAACTCTCTGCTGATGGCTCAGTTTTCAAGCTGTGACATTTGCTGCCGGAAATTAAACCGTGTTGTTAAATGTTTTCTAATGAAAGCTTTAAATATAATCTAATTTCCTTTGGACTGAAACGGTAGCGTCTCGGCGCCCGGTCTTTCATCTCTAGGCAATTCTCTTTTGTTTAAAAATGCGACTGTAACATTGGTGACTTTTTCAAACTGTGACATGAGAAATATCATACGGCTCCTGATCTCGGAGTAGCCTGCCCTTACTTGAAAACAGCACTGAAAAAAGTGATTTACGACAGGGGTTTTTTTACACTTATGACCTTTGCAGCATCCCTGTGGTCACGTGATCAAAATTTGGACACTTGGCAACTGACATGTACTCAGGACGGTTGCAGTGTTCTCTGGGGTCATGTGATCCCCTTTTGCGACCTTCTGACAATGGGGAAGCCAGATTCACTTTACAACAGTGTTACTAACTTAACAACTGCAGTGATTCACTTAACAGCTGTGGCAAGAAAGGTTGTAAACTGGAGCAAAACTCACTTAATGAATTTCTCATTTAGCAACAGAAACTTTGGGCTGGTAAGTCAAGGACCACCTGTATTTATTTATGAAGAAAACAAAATAGTATTTCTTTCTGGTAAATGCACCCTATTATTCTGGAGGCATGAGATAGCTATATTAGGTTGTAATGGACATGTACCTTTTTTTTTTTCCAGATAGTTTTGAACGAGAAATGGTCTCTGCAATTGGATTTAAGTTCACTTTAGTTTTTTTTCTGAATTGCTAGAAAACAGATGTAGAGTTCAAAAATGTTAACTCCACAGACCACGTTCACCCTTTTGTATAAAGTTGCCCTTTCTAATCTTCTGGGAGGAAAGAAGTAAGTGGAACCCAATCTATTAACTTATGGACTTCAATTCCCAGAATTCCTCAGCCAGGCATGCCTGGTTGAGGAATTCTGGGAGCTGAAGTCCATAAGTCATAAAAGGGTCAAGTTTGAAGGCCCCTTGACTTGTGGACTTCAACTCCCAGAATTCCTCAGCCAGCATGCCTGGCTGAGGAATTCTGGGGGTTGAAGTCCATAAGTCATAAAAGGGCCAAGCTTGAAGACCCCTGCCCAAGATGATCCAATCTTTTATTTTTTTCAGAGCTCATCCAGCTTTCCCACCCTCTGCTTCCCCTTGTTTTGATTTCAATCCCATTCTTTGTAGCATGGAACTTACTTCTGGAAGATATAACAGAAAAACAGAATGACAAGAGTTGGAAGGGACCTTGGAGGTCTTCTAGTCCAACCCCCTGCCATTTCAGACATATGGCTGTCCAATCTCCTCTTAAAAATTTCCAGCGTTGGAGCATTCACAACTTCTGGAGGCAAGCTGATTGATTGTTCTAACTGTCAGGAAGTTTCTCCTTAGTTCTAGGTTGCTTCTCTCCTTGATTAGTTTCCATCCGTTGCTTCTTGTCCTGCTTTCTGGTGCTTTGGATAATAGGTTGACCCCCCCACTTTTTTGTGGGTAGCCCTTTAGATCTTGGTGGCCACCATCTTGGAGAACTTTGTGAGAAAGACCTTGATCAGGTCACATTTGTCCCAAAGGCATTTTTTACAAAAGGCAGCTGGACTTTCTTGAAAACGTTTCACTTTTCATTCAAGAAACTGCTTCTTCAGCTTCTTTTTGGATGAGAAGTGAAACGTTTTTCAAGGACAAAAAACCAGAAAACCCAGTTGCCTTTTGGAAAAGCACCTTTGGGATTTGATCAGACAAACGGTAGTTCGGTCCCCCAAAAGAGTGGGACTTGGGAAACAGCTCACAAGGGACTGTATAGGCAAGGGAAGAGATGTACTTTCAGACTTGCAACATCCTGTTAACGTCACCTTACAATGAAGTTAGTCCTTCTGGGTGTGCTCGTTGGGTGGACTATTTCCCAAGGCTGACGTAACCCCATGGAGAAATTTCACAAAGTCAACTTTCCAAGCATCCCAACAGAAGGATCACGAGACAGTTCTGGCAACAGAAGGACATTTATTCTCTGGAAATCACAGCGTTGCTATTGCTTCAGCACGAGGTCAACATGACTTAGCTTACTCTGGGTTCACAGCTGTTGTTACACCACATTGACTAAGAGAGCTTGAGCCGAAACGAGAATTCACAGCATTATCGCTACAATACACCTTAAGCTGAAAGGATCCGACAGGTAAGTAGGGCATCGGGCCCAGGAAAAGGTGCCACCTCTGATCATGCAGGACAATCTCTGGGCTTCCTACCTTCCAGTGCTACTCACTGGAGTAAGAGAGTTGTGAGCGCACCCCTCCCCCAAAGCTCCATAATGTCAGAACTGCCACTTCACACCTGAAATTCGGTACCAGTCTGCCATGAATCCTGGGGAGGAGGGGGCGGTTACGGTGAGAGGGAGTCCTGGGGAGGGAAAGTGGAAGTTGCCCAAGTGACGGTGCCTGAGACACCGCTTCAAGGCCGTCTCAGGATGAGAAGGATGCGGCTGAGAGGAAGCCTACAATCAGAGTAGCCGTTCCAAAAACCACTTCTTGAAGACTGATCGGACGATGGGGAAGGGGACAGCAATGGAAAGTGCCTAAGGGGGAAAGCTTTTTCACTGGGGGAACTGGAACACGAATGTCAGTTCTGGCTTTGCTTTATACGTAGTTCTCAACTTACAACCGTTCAAAGTTACCACAGTCCTGAAAAACGTGACTTATGCCCATTTTTTTTCACAGCTGCGGCCTTTGCAGCATCCTTATGATGATCTGATCGAAATGCAGATGCTGGACAACCGGTTCGTATTTATGATAGTCACAGTGTCCCGGGGTCACGTGATCCTCTTTTTGCGACCTTCGGACAAAAGTCAACGAAAAATCAAGATTTCACTTAACAACCGGGTTACGAACTTATCAGCTGCAGTGATTCACTTAACAAGAAAGGCGGTAAAATGGGGCAAAAATCTCTTAACAGATGTCTCACTTAACAACAAAAATGTTGGGCTCAATTGTGGTCGTAAATCGAGGACTTCCTGTTCTGCAGTTCACTTTTGACTTCTCGTAAAACGGTATCTTTTGCAACAAACGAAGCCAAGGATCGTCTTACTTAGAAGCGCAAATCAGAGGCAGGGCTGGCACATAATATAAATCTGAGCTACGAAGAACAAAAAGCACCGCCCAGCTAATGTAGCCGAAATCTAATAGCATCTTCTCTGCTTTTGCAGAACTTCCCTGCAGCACAATTGTGCAAGGCTTGGTTAAAACGAACTTCAGGGACTGGAAGTAAGACAGGATGACCTGTACACCTCCGGCTGTAAGTTGGAGTACTCTTGCGTACTCCTTGGAGTGAGTACAGGTAGTCCTCGGACTTACGACCACAATGGAGCCCAAAGGTTCTGTCGCTAAGCGAGACAGTTAAGTGAATTCTGCCCCATTTCGCGACCGTGCTCGCCACAGTTGTTAAATCAAATCACTGCAGTTGTTAAGTTAATAACACAATTGTTAAGTGACTCTGACTTCCCCATTGACGTTGCTTGTTAGTAGGTCACAAAAGGGGATCACATGACACAGGGACACTGCAACCGTCAGTTGCCAAGCATCCAAATTTTGATCCCATGAATATGGGGACGCTGCGGTGGTCGTAATTGTGAAAAAACGGTCATAAGTCAACTTTTTTCAGTACCGATGTAACTTCGAACGGTCACTAAATGTTGTAAGTCGAAGATTACATGTATCAGCTATTTGTTTCATTAACTCCTTCGCTCTTCGGTAGGTCGTGGTGTACAGTTCTAGGGGCTTTTGTGAGCCTACATCGGGACACCCTCCAGATGTGTGGATTTCAGCTCCCAAGGCATCTGGAAGGCAGCCTGGTTGAGATATGCTACCTTAATACAGGTAGCGTGTTAGAGACGGTAGAGGAAAGAGCAGGTCAACATACGCTTCAACATGATGCCTTGGAGGTCAGAACAGTGCAACCCAGACTTATGACATATTGGGGGTCCCCCCTCATTTTTACACAACTGATTTTCAACAGCAATAGGACCTGTTGTACAATCCAGAAGATCCGATACTTTTTGGGTTATCAACCATCCCGAAAAAGATGGCTACCCAGTCACTCTGCAAAAGGAACAATCTGCAGTGCGGTATTAAATACTTATGTGACAATCAAGAGATAGCAAGTTTATTACAAGTTTGAGCTGTCCAATAGGTGTGAATATATACATTTATCCTTACAGAATTCCTTAATGCAGCCCTCTTGGGACCCAAAGATGCTTTTTTCATGAGGCAACTGGACTTTCTTGTTTTTCTTTGATGACGTTTCGCTTCTCATCCAAGAAGCTTCTTTGGGCCTCTTGGGATTTTCTGGGTTTTATCCAAGCGATTCCGATGGTGCTTTGCCAGTGACACACATAGATGGCTTACACACAAGCTGCCCGTTGACCTTCATTTAGCCTGACACTCTCACTTTCACAAGGGCTTTTATGAACTGCCTTGAAGTCTTCAAGAAGCACTGTGAGTTCACGTCAAGGGCCTCCACCGCAAACGCCAGCAGAGAACCGTGGAGTTCCATCACTTAATATTTCCTTAGCCTGCACGATAAATAAAGAATGGATTTCATTGGGAATCTGTCTTCGGGCGCATCATGTTCTTTAGATGTCATTCCCATTCCACTATTCTTTCAGAAGTCCCAGTTTTCGTAGAGCCTCTCTCCGGGCTTCTTCTGTTGATCCACGTCCGGAAAATTGTACTGTGATACCCTTCGAATGGAGTCCTGCAGGCTTGGGCAATGAGCTGAACCTTCTCTGTAAGTCAAGGATGAGGTCTTGTTGGGGTTCTCCAGAAATACTTGGCCGAGCAGACTTGCCATCCACAAGGTCAGCCTCTGGCTTGGAAATCATTGTTTTGTTCAGGGTGGGTAACAGATCAGGATCCCTTTTCATGATTTCATGGATGTTTTGATAGCCATTTGGTGCGCCGTGTCCTTCTTCGGGCCTCCCGTCCTTTGTGGAGGGGACGTTGATAGGGTGGAAAAGGTGGGCCCGAGCAAGAGTCTTCTCAATGAGCGTTAAACTACTCGAGGGTTCGTAGCCTGTGGACTCAGAAGGTAAATCTCCTAAGGGCGAGCTCTGGCTGGGAGCCAGGAGCCCACGCTTCTGCAGTCTTTCCTCCAACTCATTTATTAGCAAGGCCGAAGCGTTGACCTTGACGTTGACGTTGGCCAACACTTGAGCCTTGCGCTCTTGAACGTTGACGGCCGCCTTGGAGATGATTCTGCTGAATTCCCGCTCACTGGTGTTGGTGAAGCTGATGTTGCTCGGGAATCTCTGGGGTTTGGGAGCAGTCGGAGGCGGGGCACAAGGCTTGACCTGCTCCCTACTGCAGAGGGTGGTGGAAGCGGGGATGGTCCTCCTCTCGCTGGGGTTCCTTTCCTTCGGAGAAGGAAGCGAGGAAGAACTGCCTTCCGCCAGCTGCTCAGACAATTTCTCGGCCATCAGAAGTGGTGTGGGGATGGAGAGAAGGAGCTTTGGATGAAATACAGCAGGTTGAACAGGATACATCTCACAGACCGGCAATGGGGGTGCTGAAGGCAGTGTTGGCTGAAGAGAAACTGGATTAACATGGATGTCTTCCACTGATGGTTCAGCATCCTCCAGCTTTGGCTCATCCAGTTTCCAAGTGTCCTCTGATACTAGGAAGAAAAAAGAAAAGAAAAGAACCTATTAGATCTGTTTTAGAGGTTATGTGGAATGGTCTACATGTCTACGGAGATTCTCAATCATCCAGGTCATGGTTGCCCCAAAGATGTTTTTCCAGAAGTCATCTGGACTTTCTTGGGGGTTTATTTTCCCAGGAAAACATTTTGCTTCTCATCCACGAAGCTTCTTCTTGGAGTCAGAACTGAAGAAGCTTCTTGGGTGAGAAGCGAAACGTTTTCAAGGAACCCCCCCCCCCCCCCAAAAAAAGTCCAGTTGACTTTTGGAAAAGCACCTTTGTGGAATGGTCTAGTTTAGTTGCAAAAGAAGAGAGATGTGCCCTGTCTTATCAACAGATAAAGACCACCCTAAAATCCATCCTAAAATATTTTCTAGCTTTTTTAAAAAAATATCCATGATTTGACTCAATCTGGTTCTACATCCTTTTCCGAAAAGTGAGACCCTTAAATTAATTTTTGGAAATAGAAGAATGGGGTGTCATGTGTTAAGGCTATCCGAAGTTTGTGTGCCCAGATTTATTTACCTTTATGACATGATTATCTATAGCAAATAAAATAGATAAAAAAATAAACAACTGGAGATCACAGAGATCAGTCCTCCAAGTCCTTCCTTGAAGCTCCCATAACATCTCCAGATGTTGCTTCCAGATTGCAATTATTAATAATAATAATAATAGTAAAGTTGGAAGGGACCTTGGAGGTCATCGAGCCCAACCCCCTGCTCAGGCAGGAAACCCTATACCATTTCAGACAAATGGCTGTCCAGTCTCTTCTTAAAAACTTCCAGTGTTGGAGCATTCACTGCTTCTGGAGGCAGGTTGTTCCACTGGTTAATTGTTCTAACTGTCAGGAAGTTTCTCCTTAGTTCTAGGTTGCTTCTCTCCTTGATTAGTTTCCATCCGTTGCTTC